ATAAATAAATAAAAAATATTTGTATATTATTTTTTTTATATTTTTTCTCAATTTTTTCTGCCTGGTAAGCACTCTTTACACTGTTCAGCTGGGGTCTGGAAGTGTCTGGCAGACCGATTGACAGCGCGTTGAGGGCAACAGCGATAATTGCGACATTTATGAATGCCCAATAACTACTTCAAGTGGCTTGAAATTTTATAGCAATGATTAAATTTGCAATTATATAAATCAGTGACTGCAGTAACAACAACAAAAACAACTGCTGGCGAGAAAAAAAACACGCGCCGAGTGCAAAAAACTGCAACGAAGCCGCAGACGAAACACGTAAAAGCAATAAAGCAATAAATTGCCCAATTTGAAGGACTATTGTAGCCAATAATTTGCACAGCCACTTGGCTGGTTGGTCGATTGGTAGCCAGAGTGGCCAGCGCAAATATGTATGTATGTATGTGTGTGTGTGTGTGTGTGTGCCCATATAATTTCAACAAAAATATGCACATTTGTCAATGTCGCGTGATTGATGTGGTCGAACGCATTTCCGCCAAGCAGCCGCCGCGACGGTGAAGCCCTACAAAAAAAGCACAACGCAACAATTTTTTACATGTAAACACAAACACGCACACTCACGCAGTGTGTAAAAAAGGCGTGCATGTTGGGCCCCAAAGGATGCTGGCGGCTGTGTTGGCGACATTACGCGATTTTACGCATGATTTAAAATTAATGACAGCGGCGTCGCGACGTTGCTGCTGCCACTGGCAAGAGAGCTGTAACACACACACACACACACACATACGCACCCAAGTACTTAATGGGTGTGTGTGTATAAACAACACACCTTGGCCCCCACTCTGCACACACACACACACGCACACTCTGGAGTCAGTCGCCATGCAGGATGTTTAATTTCCTAAATGCATAAATCTCACTAATACGCACAACAAAATCTAAGCGCGGCTTATGCGATTGCCGCTTTTTTGTGCCCGACTACAACAACAACAACAACAAGAAATAGCAACAACAATAAGAGTAGCTAGAGCCATGGCTACGCGCACAACATCCGAAAATCATAAACAAACTTCAAAGGACATTTACAGCGGACAGTCGGACAACTGGCCAAACAAAAAGAACAAAATATATATGTATATATATATGTATATGTACATGTATATGCATGTGTAGTAGCAGCAAAAAATAAACGAGAATTTCAGCCAATGTTGAGCTTATTACGCACAGATACGAGCCACGCACTCGCCCACTCGGCCACACGGCACAAGCCACAACAATTCAGCTTCATTTGTGCTGCGGCTGCCCCGCAATGTACACATCCACGTGCGTTACGTATACGCAACGTAGTTGCTGCTACCTGTGCGCCGATAACGGCCTACGCGCCCCACGCGCTGCTTTCATTTCTATTTCCGTTTTCACTGAACGCCGCCGCACAATGCCCACTTTAAACTTACGACTGTTGCGGGTGGTTGGGTGGTTGGACGGTGGGATCAGCCTCACCTTTTTTGTTGTGCGGCGAAGCCGTGCTGCTTGTTCGTTCTATCGTTTGTTTGTTCGTTTGTTTGTTTGTTTGTTAGTCAGTTTGTTTGCCGGTTTATGCTTTAACCTACGGAAAATTGCCAATTGTTGTTGGCATGCAAATTTATGGCTTATTTGTTTTGCCTTTTGTACTACACACATCTGTCTGCATGTGTGTGCGTGTGTGTGCGTGCGTCTGGAGTGTGTGCGTGTGTAGAAGCCGCTTACTACACGTCAACCCTTTTCAACAGACTAATTCGCCCAAACAGGAGCGTTTCAGCCAAAAGCCCATAACTATAAGCCATAGAAAATCATTTGGGCCTAATGTGCGCCGCAGACTTGAGAAATCAATTGACATTAAAGCAACTTAAAGAAGGGCATATTAACAATGAAGCTGAACAGGATCATTATTAATAATGATTATTGTAAATGAGAATATTCATTAGTTAGTTGCATAACATAAAGTAATTTATAGTTATAAAAAAAAATTAAATTTGTTAAAAAATTCATAGAAGATATTATA